GCACCCTGTTCCAGTGCTCTGCCACCCTCAATGGACAGCAGTTTTTCCTCATGTTTTTTTTCCCTAAGGTAACAAAAGTTTCCTTTCCTAGGGGAAGCACTCTTCACAMGGCTGAGGGCAAGCGGCTCCCCAGGGCAGACACCGCGCTCCGAGCGGGCTCGGCTCCCCCCGCCCGGGCCCACAGGCGGGGCCCCGCCGCCCTCCGGCCCAGCCCCGGCCCTGCCCCTCTCCGGGGCCCGCCCCAGCCCGGTACCCTGCTGCTGCGGCCGCGGCGCCGCCGGGGCTCGGCCRAGCGCTGCACATCGCCCGCCTTCCCGTGCCGTCCCTTCCCTTCCCTTCCGGCGGGCCGGCGCCATGGGGCGGCGAAGGCTGCTGGCGGCGGCGGAGCGGCTGGCGGGGCCCTGCCCGGGACAGGCGCGGTTCCTGCTGTAAGGAAGCGCGGCGGGGCGGGCACGGGCACGGGCGGTGGGAGAGCCCGGCGGTGACGCGCGGAGTGTCCCCGCCCGGTGCCGGCGGCCGCACCGTGACGCTTTCCCTCTCTCCCGCACAGGTGGATGCTCCGCAGCTCCCGAGGCGAGTGAGGGRCCCCGGGCGCAGGCGGTGGTACCCGGCCGAGGAGAGGGGCTCCGGAGCCGGGSGCTCTGTGAGCCCGGTGCGCTCCAGCGGGGGCTCCTGCCGTGGGGGAGCAGCGCCTGGAGGCTGCGGAAGGACAGGAGGGAGCGTGGCAATGTCGGCTTGCCCTTTTCCTCCCTTTGCCCCTTGCCCTGCACTGTCCCCGCTGGGYTGTGTTGCGGGGATGCCGGCAGGAACGGCGAGCTTGCCGGGGAGCAGGGCCAGGTGTTCCACTGGGGTTTAGGGGAGGCACCCGAGTCCAGCTCTGGCAGCGGGAGCTAATGAGGGAGGTGTAGGAGCGAGCTTCTTACTAGGGCTGAAAGTTATCTCAAAGCGTTTCTTCATCCCGGCCTGAGATCCTGTCATCTTACAGTTAAAATGGGAAAAGAGCTTTATAAGGCTTTGATATCCCTGATCTGATGGAAGATAGTGCCCACACGGAGCTCCTTGCATAATTGTGAGCCTCTTGTTTAAGATTTTTAGCAAGGAATTGCATTTTTTTCAGGAAAATCTACAATTATGTATTGTGCAAACTTGTGCCATGCATAAACTTAGCCTAACTTGTGCTCAGCTTGTTCTTGTCTTCTAGCCATACTTTAAACATAAGAACTTGTACCTAGGTAATGTTAAAATGGAAACACAACATTTTAAAGTTTGCTTATAAAACATAATTWTTTCATACTTTTGCCTTTATTTATCTGTAGCTAATAAACATGGAGTAGAAAGGATATGTCCTTACTGCTTCCAGTTCCTGGTTCCTGACAGCTACCGGGTGCGCCTCAAACCAAAGRTGAAAGTGACTCCACAGATAGAGAAAGTTCTTAAACGAGAAGCAAAGAACCAAAAACTTAACATGAAGCAGACAAAGCTTTTGAGAAAGTACAGGGAGTCAAGAAGCATTCTGGTAAGGATATTCATGTGGAACTGACAGGTACATGATATTTACCTAAATTTCATGTCCCTATTTCAGTGGCATAAAAAAGAAGATAAAGAAACCTTTCTCTTAGAAGAGGAGCCCACATGTTTCTTTTTCATGAGCATAAGACACTTCCTTTCTTTTTGGAATGATGACATTTTTTAGATCTGTCGTCCACAATAGACAGATCATGAACACAATGACAAGACCAATAAGCTTTTCTCTCCAAAAAAACGTCACAACCCCACATTATCAGAGAAGCTACACAAGCAGCTCATTTGCCACCTTTGTTTCAGTTTTATCAGTTGTTGAGTAGATACGTTTTGACACAAGCTTTACTTAATGTATTTCACTAGACTCTCGTGGCTACATTAGCTTATCATTGCTCTACATATAATTTCATTTGAATATTATATAGGAAGTCTCAAAACGAAACCATAGAGGTTATTTCAACAAGTTGATGTTTTTCTTGAGGCTTCAGTTATTTTTCCTGAAAGTACTCAGGGATGTGAGATTTAATTASTATTGGAAGAATAACAGTATACATTTAATTTAGTGTTGCCAAGGTATGTACTGTTTTTAAAACACATTATGTAAATAGTTAYGGTAATAAATGAGACAGCACCCTATTGTGCCCAGCAGTTGCTGGCACACTAAGTATTTTCTTGGATGAGAGTCDCATGGTTTCAGGAGTAAATTTTGTGAAACTAAAAGAGTCAATAAAACAAACTGAGGAAATATCACCAAGGTTCTTGGCTGACAGAGCAAAACAAGATGCTTCATCCCCAAATTGTAGATCGTAGTGAGCTTCAGAACAGACACCTGAAAAGGTTCTTCACCCAGAGGGTGGCTGGACACTGGAACAGGATCCCCAGGGAAATGGTCACAGCACCAGCCTGACAGAGTTCAAGAAGCATTTGAAAAACACCTTCAGGTACATGTTGTCACTCTTGGGGTGTCATTTGGAGAGCCACGAGTTGGACTTGGAGGACGCTTGTGGGTCCCTCCTGACTCAAGTTATTCTGTGATTCTGCAAGCTGAAATATTTGCTTTATTTTTCTGGGATCACAAACATTTRGGGTACACTGAGGACCTTAAACTTAAAAAAACCTGTCTCTTTAAGCAACTGATGAACGGAGCAATGTCCTATGAAACGATTATGGACTCTTAGACCTATTGTGTATCTGGAGAGTGTAGGGACAAACTATGCATTCATATGAGTAGTTTAAAATTCAGTTTAAATTCATTTTAAACTCTGGGTAATATTTTGATCTTGCTATTACAGTTTGCTGTACTTGTGTTCCGTTCAGTTTGAATTTGTCCTGTGGATTATGACTTGAAATGGTTCTTGTCWTAAGTCTTTAAAATGCTTGTCAGCAACTGGCAGCTTTCAAAATTAGCAATGTAGATCCCTGTAATCTAATACCTGAGACTTGTGAAAATGAAAATTCCAGTGTGGTTGGAAATTAAAGCAAGCAACAGTGTGACAGGTTGTACCTCTGAGACCTTTCTTAGCAAGTAGAACTTGATTTTAGACTGCTGCTGCCATGAAAATGCATATAACATAGGAACTGTTTAAGGGCTTTAAAAATTTTTGGAGTTACCTGCTGGTCCAGTTCAGTGCATGGAAATTAGCTGTGAAGTGCTATGATTAATCCAGTAATTCSTGCATTGTAAGGTGGTCACCTTCATTTATATTCCATGCAGTGCTAAGTCACGATGAGATGCTGAGTCTTTCCCACCTGAATATTATTTAGAAGACCTAAAAATACATCAATTCTTGAGCACTAGACATTAATATTCTTATTTTTAGTCTGTTAGRCTGACAAAATAATGTCTAGAAGAAGTCAAAATGTTTCTATAGAACTAAAAATGGTTCATTTCAGCATCTGCAAATGTAATTTTTACTAAACAATCTGAATTTAGTTAAATTTGCACACTTTGAAATCAAGAATGATTTGGTGTAGATGTATTCAAAACTGCTTAGACATTTTTGTGACAGTCTTTTGAGTATGTTTTTTTAACCAGAAGCATCATGTAACTGTTTTTCTGTCAGTCTAATTGGTGCCTCAGAAAGTTGTCTGGCTGTATTACTTTCGTATCTCTTAATATGAGCAGTTGCCATGGCAGTAAGGATATCAGGGTTATCTGACAGTCTCTGTGACTGTGTGACATGATCTGTTCTGATGCACCTCTCAGCTTACTGTGCTGTTGAAGTTCCCTGCAGCCTTGAGGTACATAGAAGAGAAAGTGCCCCTTGTTTAGAATGTCCTCTTTATTCTAGTAAGTACTGTTGCCCTAATACAAAGCCTTGTCTTTGTTCATTGAGACTTACTGGTTTTACTTAAATGGGTGACTGGGTTTGAGAGTTTGGTAGTTTAAATATTTTATCTCAAAACTCCCTGAAAAAGTGCGCAATAYAACTTCATTAGGAGCAGAATATGCTAATGACTTTAGATGACACAGAATGTCACGTTTCTTAGCCAAATACCTAACRTATAGGGGTGTTCTTGTATGCTCAGTGTATCTTGTACACTGAAAATATTATGTGCCCAATTCAGGTGCTGTTTCATGTCACTGTCATAACAAGGTTGTTCTCTATTTCACTGTACAATGTTACACTCACAGGTACATGTCTCCTGAAATCAGTTAGTAGGCAATTGGAGTAATTTCTAGGTAAACCCAAAGGATGTGTYTGGCTTAAGAAGCCTGAATTAAAATACTAGTTATAAAGTGTATGTTACTTTTTAGTATCTCATGTTTAACTTAAGCAAATATTTAATTTGTGTCATGGTATTTGGAGAACAGTTTGGATAATTCTTTTACTGTTTTAACGAGGTGGAAAGACTGAAAAGCATCTTTATAATTCCTTTATTCTCTTCATAGCTGGTTACTTGCAAATCTTGCAACAAAACAACAAGACATTATGGTAAAAGCAGAGATTTTCTGGCAATCAAAACACCAAATTCTGGCACTCCAGGTATCAAATCCAGCCTGAAGACACCAGATGTMAAAATTCAGTCTGCAAAGAAAATGACACCTGTAAGCTGCAGCAGGTTGGGATCTAAAGGAAACAATCCCTCATCACTTTCCAGGTTCCTATTTCTTTCCTATTTAAAGCAGCACTTTGCCAAGTAGAGTGTATTACATCTTGTTGATTTTAGATCAGTCATTTAATAAACTTTAAATTGCTAACTAAGGGTGTTTCTCAGTGGTATGGTTTCCAACCTTTAAACACAAGGATTCTCATGAAAAGCCACTGTGTGCAAAGAACACCCAGTTATATTTGTGTCATTAATCTGAAAGGTGTCTTAAAATTTGCATAACAAAGCTATATTTCTAACTGCTCACTTGCACATGAAAATACACTTTTTATTATTTTTYACTCAAATTATATATGTGTGCTTTCACAGTTACTTCGTGTTAATTCTGATTTCTCCTCTTTAAGACATTAGTCTTTTGTTTTTCAGGACACGTGAATCGGGACAGGCAACAACCAACTCTGCTTCCAAGACTCCCCGAAACTCCAAATTTCACTTTTCTAAGCTAAAACGGATGCTCGACCTTGAAGAAAAAGAGAAAAGCCAGAAGGCAGATTTCAAAGCTTTCTTGACTTTACTTTAGTTATATATTTTTTCAAAGTAATAAAGATTACAGCAATAAATATTGTTCCAGTTTTAGTAAGTCAACAGAGTGATTTTTTTAAAACTCAGGCTACCAACCTGTACCTTGTTAAAGCATAAGCCATACTTTTTAGAAGCAAGCTCTGTTTCAAGTGATTGTCTGCCAGAGGAAGATGAGAAGATAGTTCAATATGCTTGGGAATCTTGAGCATGTTTTGCAGTGTCTGATGGCATGGGAATTAAAAGCTGGCATTTATCCTTTGAGGAAGCTGATTATGCTCCCAACAGGACCATTTAATTTTCAAGATTAAAGATTTTCCATTTAAGTTTGGCACAGAGATGAGAGAGGACAGTATAAAGTCACTGTTCAGGACTGAGATTATAGCCTGTCCTGCATACAAACTGCAGTGATAGTTCTGCAAATGGTGCTTCACACTTCCCCTGTAAGAGCCAGTTAGTTAAAAGAATTTACATTCTTGGATTTAAAGGTCTGAATTTTCCCCTTTTTTGCTATTTTAATGAATAGTTTCCTTTAAAAGCCTTCAGACTCAGTGAACACTGCTTAAGAAATAGAACTAGCAAATAACTTGGCAGACTGAGAAGCAGTCTAGGGCAGGGGAGAACAGTTTTTTGCAAATTGTAGTTAGGAGTCTCAGAGACTGGCATGAAACTTTTTGATATTRCCTGTACACTTGCACAGTAACTGGAGATTTCACTCTTTGTCTCTTATGTTCATGTAGGATCAAATGAACTGCCATTCTTTAATGAAAATACAAACCTTGGAGTGTTGCCTTTTCCAGTGTAGAACCTGGCATTAATTCACCTGTTGCTGTATTTACAATCCAGTCCTCGAAAAATACTTCATTTTGTTGACACAAAAAGTGCATTGCACAAAAGTATTTGAAAAAACAAATTTTGCAATAAATTTTCATATTAAAAGTACACACATTAGATACTGCTTTACTTCCCGTGAGGTTTACATTAAACAGGCATCAGGCATCTGCTGTGTTATAAGGTGCCCCAACATTAATGTGTTTGTTAGATCAAAGCACATTTTCCCGTTGTCCCTGTTTACAGTTCTTCTTGTACAACACCTTGTGGTCTCAAGGGTGCATTCCTTTTGGATAAAACTACAGATAAGGGATAAAAGACACGAAGGGGGGCGCACAACCAGTGTGCTGAGAAAGCTAGTGGGCAATATATCCACAGGATCACAGAAGAGCTGCTTTAAGCTACATGCCTCCAAAAAGTGTTTTGTGGGAGATAGGCACCAAGCTACAGGCGATCTGCATGCCAGGTATGTTACCATTGCAGCACACTATTTGTCAATAGAGACAGACCCTTGTCATGCTCCAAACACCTTTTTTTACTTTGGAATTAACAGAGTTGTCAGGTATGTCCAGATGTGTTGTTAAAAGGGATTGTCATTGTGAGCAAATAGACTTTATTCTGGGAACAAAGGSAAAAAAGTAATTCAGTATGTGCCTTTCCTTGTTTTACAAGCATGCCTCAAAATGCTGGGTCGAAATAATCTCCAGTGCTTTTATATTATTCCTAAACCTTTAACAGTGTTTTTTTCTGTTACAGAATCAGTGTATTGACATAGACACACATATGTATAAACATATCTTTAGACATTATATATATATATATATACCTACCCACCCATCAGAGGCTTATATGTACCCTTATATTACACACATACACTATTACCTTCCACACACATTACCTTCCTGTTCTTGATCAAACACTGCGGGGTAACTGTTGGCTGCAAGAGACTTGCTGGGCTCCCCTACAAACCACTRCCAGGCCACATTACTGGCTTGTGTTTGAAGAGCTGGAAGACARCTTAAGAGGAGAGACACCCTCACTGATTTCAGAGAGGGCAGAACTTCAGCCAGACTTTGTAAAGCAAGAGYTATAAGGTTTCTGTTAGCATACAGCCCTGCAAAAAGGCATTTGATAAGATGATGAGAGTTATTTCCCAGCACACACAAGTTCTATTCGGCAATGGTATCTGTATCATTGGCAGTATATGTGTCATACCATATTGAAAATGTTACAAAGTGTCTTAAAATAACCAGCTCAGCTAAATTTAGAGTTCTAGACATAGCTCCTGTACATAGGACCTAGACAAAGATCCTTTAGTGCACTGCTTCCTCACCAAAAACTGTCACACAAAACAGAGTAATAAACCTCAAAATTAGTATCAACCATTTCCTCAGCATTATCACTATGAGATCTTGGTTGACTCCTGAGTATASGGAGCAGTTTTATCAAAGCCATTTTCCACCATGAGACTGAGTAGGCAAGCAATGAACAGTAATTTTCAAAGATGTTTTTACAACAATGTTTTATTAAATATGAAAGAGTGTACATACAGGTGTTATTCTGGGGACATAAATTACACAAGGATTACAGGTTCTGTCAGAAAAGCACAATAATGAAACATCTTTACATTTCAAACTTTTCCTGTTAGCTTTTAACAAATGAGTCTATTTCTGTTGCAAACAAGTAATGAGCGCTATTGAACTTTTGCAAATTCCCACAAAAACATCATGCTTAGTAGGATACTTTAACTATTGTAAATATTAACTCAGAATTAGATTCCTAAATAACACGATGGAAGAGATTTACTACCTAATCAAGATAAATGACACACTGAAATAGGAGCTGAGACAAAATTGGTCATTCATTAGAAAAAAAATTCCACTTCAGACACTATGTTTCAGTCTGCTTTCTTTACTTGCAGGAATATAGTCACTGTGATTACATGTAATGAGCAGAACTGGCCTAAATATTTGTAAATGTACCCATCAAATTTTAGATGTGCTGATTTTCACTGATTTTCCCACTGAAAAAACCCCCACACCCGCAGATCTATTTCCTTGCGTTTCAAAAGGCTCTTCTGCAGAGGGCCAATCAAGTCTATGTATGATTTCCACGTCCTCCATGGTCATCTGCACTGTCAGCTACTGCATCCCACATACGTATTTTGGGTCATCACTGAAGTACCAGACTGAGTTATCTTGTGAGAGCAGCATTAGTCTGTGCAAGTCCTGACACACAGTCTTTTAAACTTCAGGTAAACAGGAATGTAATTTCATCATAATGAAAGCTTTCAGTTTGACACTCGGAAGACTACTTGGATAAAATACATAATAACCATGTAGTTTGGGTTGTGTTGCTAGGGATCAACAGAGGTGCTTCAATATATGAATACAAACATTAACAGAGTGAATCAGACAAGCTAGTATTACTGCAGGCTGTAGTCTAATTTCYGAAAGAAGTAATGAAACATAATTTCCAAGAATGGTAATTTTTGTAACTAAGGACTTCACATTTATTTCTAAAACCACAGAAGTGGGGTAATATTCCTGATATCTTTCAAAACATTCTGCAAAAAACACAGCTYGAGCCTGCAAACACTAGAATATACAAGCAGTCCCAGTGACCTCCAAGGTAAGCATTCTCATATGGCAAAGTGCTGCAGGAATCTCTTTGCTTTTTTTCAGAGAATGCTCAATAAAAGTGCAATATAGTGAAGCAAGTAATCTAATTATTATGCTTATTATTAGATGAAAAATGTTCAGATACTTTATAATTGTGCCTTTTGTAGGGCAGGCTTTCTGGTTTGCCTAAAGTCAGACCACGTTAGAAGAGGTAGGCAGGGTATACCCACACAATTTCTTTCCCACAGGGTGGCAATACCCCAAAGCAGTTCTRTGGTACAATCCCACCTACAGATACAACATTGTACTGCCCAGTCTCACAGTTATTTCTGTTTCAATGGAAGCTGGCATGTGGTTTGTTTTACCTTTCCACCCAGGCATGTTCTCCCTTTCGTCTCCTCGGCACCCTATACTCCCCACCCAGCCTCTTTTCTTCCTGAGATGTCACATGTATGTACATTAAGCTTTGGAACCTGAGAATTTGGAGGTATTTTCTGACACTACAGGGCTGCATTTGTACTGTACCATGTTATCTCCTGCTATACTATTACAGTTACAATATAAATCTCCTAACTACTCGATACCTGATACCTTTCCCACATAAATTAAAAAAAAAAAAAAAAGTACGATTCAGCCACTAATATATGACACTTGCTTTAAGAGTGAACTTTGCCTTTCACAAGTCCTCTTTTTCAAACAAATATTGAGGGGATATTTCCAAAACCCCATCTATGAAAAACTCTGTGAAGTAAACCATTTCAAAGTAAAATAAAAAAAAAAATAAATCCAGAAAATAACACTCTGTCAAAATTAAAACTTATATACATTAAGAAAAAGTTGAGGTTTGTTCCTCATTCTTTTATCAGTTCTACATTATTTGCAGGTAAGCAGTGTCACCACTAGGAGTTATGAATAGAAAAAATAAATCCAGTGAAATCTGTCTTTTTTAAAAGCTTTGAGAGATCAAAAAAATTCAGCATTCAACTTCATTATTATAACTATTTTCAACTCAGGCAGCAAAAAATTGTTTAAGCTTAATTCCCTATGATTCTGAGTATTCAAGACAGATCTTTCAGTGCAGTCTAATAAGCCTTGTCACAGCACTTATAATCACCTCTGGGTACAAATTAAGTTTTCTAYGGATGGAATTCAACCGTGAACTCACTATTTATACTTCTTGTTTTATGATATGTTTTAGAATTCTTAACAGATTAAGCTGTTTTAATATTTATCACAAATTTGGTGCTGTTCTTTAGCAAAACTGCACTTTAACTGCAACTGCAATGCACATATATATGCATTAAGAATTTGTGAAGAGCTTCACATACTGGAACAGAAATATTTAAAACATTACAGCTGTATCAGAATATTTTCTTATCAAGAATCTACACTGAAAAGCTTTCAATAAGGGTTATTTAATTTTGCATATTACACTTAAACTAAAGAAACTAAATCCTCTGGATTTAATACAGCCAGTTTTTTTTTTTCCTATGGAATGGAAAATTGCCACTCAAAACTTAGAAATCTTTGGACAGCTAGTGAGCTCTGATGAATTATTTTGAGCACTCCTATATGGCAGTCAGAATTTTTTAGGAAGTCAGTATTCTACATTGCATTATATGRACTGCTGTGTCAACAGCTTATATTTTTTATCTTTTCAGGTTTTTTCCCTACTTAACGGAGATCTGATTAATGGCACCTTCCACAAGAAAARATAACTGGACTGAGATGATTATGTCCAAGTGTATCTATTTTAAAGAGAATGGTTATTCTCCATTCACATCCAACAAGTATTCTAGTGATTAGCCCTGTAGAAACCAGTAACAAGTGACAGATAACTATTTTCAAGAATTTCTCTCCAAGACTGTTTTGAATTGTATGGGTTTTGAAAAGAAATAATACTTTTTCATAAAAAAAAATTTGCCTTCATGTGAGTTGTATTTAACTTGTAAGCTGTGAATTTAAATGTATCAAAACAATGCCTGACAAGTGCAAAACCATGAACAAAATGCAATCATTAAATGCTCCTACGATATATCCAACTCACAACACTTGCAGCCCAGGTTTTTGAGGTCATCTAAATGCCAAAAGAACAGGTAGGCATTTTTAAAATCACTCAACAATTACATGTCTCATTCTGATGGACTGAAAAACCTAAACTTCCTGGCAATGTGCTCAATGCCTGTCTGTATCTTTAAGTTTGTAAGTGAACTTAAAAGATGATGYGTAATGTGGACACAAGGATTCTTCACAAATTCAGCAATTCCCAAACGAATACACCTTTATCCCATGGAAAAAGGATTTTTTAACTGGGCAGTGATTTTCTGCTGTTTGACTTATACACAGGTCTGAGCTGTCTCCTCCTGATGTGTGAGAAAAAGACGATCAAGATCTAGAAATATTTGCTGGAGCAGGAGAAGGTGGGGAGGTGGTAGCCCA